GAGTTTATCTCATAGTTTTTCCTTGTCCACCATTTCAGGAAGTGAAACCGAGGACGGGGAAACCACGGGAAGTGACGAGTTAGAAGGCTAGCCATATTGTAATTGGATATGAATTTTAGAAACAAATCATGATCTTGTATTTGGAGATTTTATGATATGAGAGAGAATTTTAAAGATTTGATCTTCAGTTTTTGGTGGTATCAGAGTGTGATATGATAAGTTCCGAGCCTTGTGCATTTGTGGGACCCGTCTCACGAGTGCACGGCGTTTGTCGCGTCTCGAAATTGGGTTTTGGGGCGTGACATAGAGATTGTAGCATATAACCTAGAGATAATAGTGAAGAATGGGTGCTTGTGTGCTTACCGTGCTTGGGATTTCAAAAGATGAACATGGCCAAAGTGAGGGTACTAAAGAAGAGCAAGGACAAAAGGCTGGTAAGTTAAGGCCGAACCTAAATAAATTTTTTCATTTTTGCTTTAAACCTTGATTCTTCTTTCATTTGAGATCTTAGCGTGGCTATATATATATAAAATAAAGAGATTTTTGCACTTGTGCTATTCATGCCATTTTGTAGGTGAAGCCAGCCAAGTAATTTCTTCCAAGAAACCAGCATTAGGCAAAAGAAAGAGTATGACCAAGCTATCCAAGAGTAAAGCTTGCAAATCTGATGCTTCATTAGCCACAAAACAAATCAAAACTAAGGCACCCATACCTGATAAAGCAAAAATGCCCAAGGAAAATGAAGAGAAGGCATGTGTGTGCATTGTTGAGCTTTCCTTGCATAATCAATACAAGCTTTCCATCATTGTGGACCTCACTAAGAGATCATTGTATGTGAGTTATTATTTGTATGTGTAGCTTCCAGCTTTCAGTGAAGGACTATGCCCCATTCTTATTCTTGACGATGATGAAGCTTCATCTAAGGCAAAAAAGGCTAAGAATGTGAAGGCTCTAGCAAAGGGCATGAAAAAGGCTTAAGAGGAAAAAATGGGTTTGATGCTTATAGCATGAATGATCTCCTTTTCTATATGTTGACAATGAAGGAAAAATCAAACATATATGTGTAATGGCATTTTGGTAATTTTGAGTTTGTGGGGTCAGGGTAACCCAACTATCTAATGGCTAGATTTGTGTTGGGTGAGGACAAGTGTCAAGTTTTGGGATGATCTGGGCACTCTTGATAAGGTTGGTGTGTAATTATTATTTCTCTAATGTTTCTAGTGAAGGATTGCTAGTTCGCTATCCTCTTATTCTTGGCAATTTCATATTTATACATAATGCCATATTTGGTGTGTAATTAAGCACTACCGGCAAGTCTTCCTCTATCCAAGATTTTGGTAGATTTTTCAAGCAAAATATATTCTCCTTTGCCAATTTCCTATGCAGTGAAAGTTGTGCAATCGTCCATACATTGAATACCACTGTAGGTTGGTGATGGAGACTCAAATGACATCTTTAGTTGATTTTTAATAAGGTTTCAAGTTTTATAATTAGTATTAAATGGTGTAGTTTTGGGATTAAGTTTTACCCCTTCATGTTTACTACCCATCTCTTCCTGGTGAAGATGAGCAGCATCGCTAGCCCCAAGCCTGGCTGGTGCAAATACTATCCTTCGCCAAGCAAGCAATGTTCATCCATCCATGCTTGCTAAGTCACTATTTCCATAGTTTATCTTGAACAATTCCCATGAGCATAGCTTCATGAATTCATTGATGACCTATATAAAAATAATAATAATAAGTTGATGAAAATAAAGAAATTTGATAAGTGAGGAAATAATAAAGGAAAAAGATTTATTTATATATGTCTAGCGAAGTAGCCATATACTATAGCATCAGATATAACTGGACCTTTTGGTAAATGCATGTTGAAGGCATTAATGGGCCTTTAAATCAAGGCATGTCTACTCAAGTCCAATTTTAACTCTTTACAAAAACGTGCATTAACATTTAGAAAATGTTGATGCTTTACCTTTTCAAGTTTAATCACATCCATCATCTATCAAATAATCAAGAGCATTAATAATGGATTCAAACATCTAGTCAATTTCAATAATGAATCATAATAAAAACCCTAATATATGTCTTCATCTCTTGTAAATCTAAATTCTTAATTAAGGTCACAAGCATTTTCTAATTGCTCTAAAGATATCATGACACTCAGAAGAACAACCAACAACATTCAACACATTTGCAATTACTGAAAAAAAGTTCAAAAATCCCTTGATGACCTTGTGCGACAACTACAAGTACTAGTTGAAGTTGATGAGAAGCAATGAGCATGATAAACTTAAGTGTTCTCTTTCAAAATAGGTGTATTCACTCCATTGAACTCGTCTTTCATATTACTTGCTCCATCATAACCCTATCCACGCAATCTTGTAATACTAAGTCCATATTTATATAACAAAGAATCTAAAGTGAATTTAAATGATTTAGTTGTAGTGTCAAAAACATGTATAAAACCAAGAAAGCATTCAATTATTTCTCTTTTTACAATCACATATTGCAAGGCAACAACTATTTGTTCTTTCATTGACATGTTACGAGACTTGTCAATTAAAACTATAAAAAGTCATCTCCAATATCTTCGATGATTTCTTCTATTGTTTCACTAGCAAGTGCAATATCCTTTTAAATTTTTGGTGACATCATTTTATTGTTTTAGGAGCATTATCCAACACCACTTTGTTAATGCTCTTACTTTATTCTGTAAAAGTTCAAGAAAATTATCTTGATTGGAAGTGTCATTAGGTTTATCATAACCATGAAAAGCTAAGCTTTGATGTAAAAGCCATTTGACATAATTTATTAACACACACAATCATATATGATATTCCCTTCAACTTGCTTTCTTATGATTGAAAAAGATTGTTGTAATACTTTAATTTTGATTTCTCAAAACTTCACGTCATTTTAGTATTATTATATGGATTGGAGACACTACTAATATGATTTTGTAATACTCTTTTGTTTTTCTAATTTTTAAAACCATAAGATATATAAGTAGCATTGACACTATTTTGCAGGAACACATACAATACAAGAAAAATGCAATATCTTTTTATATATTGTATTCCAATTAATTAATATTATTGTCAAAGAATGAAGAAAATGATGAAATTTATTTTCAATCACAATAAATGAAGAATTATGCTCACAAAATTGATAAGATCTTTTTTGCCAATATTTTTTTCTCATAGTATCTTAAATGTTAATATCAAAAGATAAAATTGGAGGTCTCTCCCTATTATCAAAGATCAAATCCTATCTATGCCATTATTACATTTTTTTTACTCAAACTTTTTTTAGAAAGTATCTTTCCATTTCTATTCAAAAAAATAAAGAATTAAGTCATTAAAATTTTAAATTGAGTTATTCTAAATCATTATTTTATTATAGACAAAAATTAATTTCATTAACATATTTAACAAACTAGTAATTTTTAAAATAATTTTTGGATACAAATTTATAGTTTAAATAAGAAAAATTAGTTTTTTTTTTTCTAATATTTGCTCTTAAAAAAAACCCATATAATTTAACTACAAAATTAGAAAGAGATAAAAAAAAGAGTTAAAAGTAATAACCATGTACTAACTTGATAAAAGACAAGCACTATATTCATGTACTAATATGGAAAATTAATGAAGGACGAAGATGGAGGAAAAAAGCAAGAGCAAGAACACTTTTGAACTTTACGATTTTGATAAAGGTTTCACCGATGCCACTTTTTGATTTGTTTAATTGGGAAAAAAATAAACTTTTAGTTTTATTAATTGTTTTACTCCTTATCTAAAAAAATTCAAATCTTTCTTCTCCTATTAATTTTCCACTTTATCATAATTTCTCTTTTTGTTTTGGGCCTTTTAATATTATTGTTTTACTTTTAACAAGAAATTTTTAAAGGAGAGGTAGGGTTTGTGCCTAACCTTTCCCCAACATGGATTCACCTTTGGCCTATTCAAACCTTAACCTTGCTTTCCAAGGTTGATGATCTTGCTTAGCTCTTTTCATTTTCCTAAGAACCTAGATTAAGTTATTTTCCTTATAAGAAAACTTGATATAAAACCTAGAATTCTTGAACTTTAGGGTTTTATTTAAAATCTCTCTTCTTTTTATTTCCTTAAATTTGAAATCAAAATTCCATCCCCTATTCATCACAATAAATTTTTTCCTCATAACTTCCTATTGAGGTGGACTATGAAATTTAAGAGATTAACATTTGTTTTCAAGAGAGGTTTGAAATGGTTTAAAAGCAAATAAAAAAGTATAATTATTTGTTTTTAAGTGTGTTTTACAAGGGTTTTTACTATTATTATTGATTTGATTTTTGATTATAATAATAAAAAAAGAGGCTTGAAGCATTATTTTAGTAAGTTTATTTTTTAATAAAGAAAGAAACAAAAAAGTGATTTTCAAAATCTGTTGGGAAAAACCTTAGATTTGTCTAAATTTTGATTGTAATATTAAATAGGGTCGATGTGATTTAAATAATTCTTAGGGAAATTGAATTTTAAATTGATTATAAAAATGAATATTTATTTATAAAATTTATTGTTTTTATTTTCATGGATTAATTATTTTAGGATTTACATAAATTTTGAACAAAAACTCTAATTAAGAAGTGAGTTGTTCGTTTACAATTATAAAAAAAATTTTAGTACTCTACTACAAATAAGCAAAACTATTATGTGTTTTGTTTCATTTTCATAATCAATTTTTTATTTCATTGCTTATCAAAATAGAAATGTATTAAAAAAAAAATGAAAGTTGTGCACTAGTCTCAATATTGTGAATGGTGCTTGTATTCACCTTTTTGTATCTTGAGATTAAATTATGTTGTAACGAATTGAAATGAGGGTTAACTCAAATGTTCCTTTTTTCCATAAATTATAATATAGTATTGTTACATCAATCAACAATATAAGAAGGAAACAACAATTTATATAGTATCACATCAAGTAAGGGTTAGCTTAATAGATGCTAACTAATTTTTGAACTTATTCAATGAACTTATTTAAACTTCAAAAGATTTGATCCTTTTTTCCTATATACTCCATATTACTATTAAATCTTATAATTTGTAACTTGGAAAATGATTGGTAGACATTTGGCTCAATACATTTTTTAACATACTTCTAGTTCAACCATTAAAAATATAACATAAATATAGTCAATTTAGTTAATTTTTACATCTTATATGTATGACTATATTTTTAAACTTATTTGCCTTTAATTTTAGAGTAAAAAATAGTGATTTTTTAATGAGTGTGTTGTGTAGTGTATTAAATTAAGTGTGTAACAATTGCTGTCTTTTTAACTTACATATACTCCTAAAAAATATTTCTTTTGTATAAATATAACATAGTAATTAAAAAGAAATACTTGATTTACAATTTTCTTAAAAAATCCAAGTCTTTTCTCTTTAACTTGTAGTGTTTACACTTTTTTTTAATTAACTTTCAATTTCATTTTAACCTTCTTAATTACTTTTTTATCCCTTTATCATTTTATCCCTTTTAAATTAAGTGGATAAAAAGGTAATTTGACTAAAGAAATATATTGATATAATATAGTTAGCATAATGGCTATTTTCTGTGTCAAGTGGACTAACATTGAAGGACATGCATTGAGGCCAACTATTAGAGCGTTTAAAAATATAGTAATTAATATAGACATTTTTTTTTTTTTGTATAAAAGCTTAAAAGATCCTATAATAAATTAAAACTTGCCCAAACAAATATCACAATATATTTTCAAAAAAAAAAACTGTCAAATTCAACATCTAAAAATGCACCAATAAAATATTATTTTTGTAATAAAAAGGGATAGCCCTTAGTTTGTCTAGTTGGATGATTAGTTCCTTATCAATGTGGTCAAACAAAATATCATGTGGTCAAACAAAATATCATGCTACCCAATAAAAACTAAGAAAATATCACAAAATAGTTGACAATCCATAGGATTGAAATTATAGAGAAGGCATCTATCCTACTTCTCCCTGAACTTTAGCAAATAAATGCCATAATGAATCTTACATGCAAAATATTAGCTATTAGTATAATATTAACTTAAACACTGTTGACGACCACTTAAAAGGGGATTAAGTGTGAAAATATAAAAAGAAGGGGAGTCGCCACTCGTCCAATTATAAGGTGGGGCAAGTCACCTAAAATGGGTCTGCGCAGAGATCGAGGTTCGAGGGTTCGAGGTTCGAGGGTTCGAGGTTCGAGGGTTCGAGGGTTCGGTTAGGAGTGAGGAAGGACATACGCGCACCTCACAATCCTCCGTTTAAACACGGTTGTATACTTTAACATTGGAGGGTTTTGAATCAACTTATTTATTATATTTATGTTTGAGTCTTAATAAGCAAACTTAAAAAAAGAGATAAACTGAATCAAAACATTTTTTAGGTTTTTGGACTAAAATGGGCGAATTCAAGAACATGCATGCGAAATGAGCCTAAATAAAAAGTTAAAGGACTAATTTGATTAAATTCAAAAACATGAAGGACTGATTTAAAAGGATTTGAAACTTTGGGACTGAATTGCTTAATCATAAAACTTGTGGATGAAAGTGAGATAAAATAAAAGATAACTTTGACTTTGACCAAAATTAAAGTTAATTAAAAATTAAAATTAATTAATCAAAATAATTAATCTAATTAAATAGTTAACTTAATATTAATTAAAATTAATTAATCATATTTACTATTCATTAATTGATTGAGATAACTAAATAAATCTAATCATCTCAAATCAAACTCAATAAATATGATTAATTTATTTTAATTAAAATTAATTAATTTCATTAAT